TTGTTGTACAAAGTCGGTCACACTGTCTGCGTTCGATCTCGCGAGAACGGATAAATGAAGTGCAGTCACGTCGAGTGCTCAAAAAACACTGTTGATCATTGTCGTTTGGATGAGACTAAAGCTCTGTTAGAAGTGGACTGTATTTATAGTTTGCGCAAACGCATCGAGAAATCCAGCGTAATGCGACAACTGTCGCACACTGTCGCAGACTTATCTCGGAAATTGTAGCGACATAAAATTCACATACAGCGTACAATTTGCAAAATTACAGACGGAATATGTAATTTAAACAGAGTGATAAAGAAAAAGAGATAAGAAATGCACGGATCATTTTTCAAAATTCATTGTCGACGAATTGACGGCTGGCTTTGAAATAACTTCGCGACATGGCACAATGAAAAGAAAAACGATGAATCGCGCCCAGTAACGCGATTTCCTCTCTTTCCGTGGAAATTTTCAAATTTCCTCGTCCCTCTCTGGCGCGAATCTCTCTTTCCTAGTTTCCACGTACAAATAAACGAGAACGTACGGACTGTGAACAACTGTGAACGCGATACAATGATGGAAGACAATGATGAAAGATCTGTTTCACTGTTGCTCACTCGTTGAATAAATATAAAGTGTGACTCGCTGATTTCCTTTTCGCTGCAGTCCTCTAATTATAAAGATATTCGACCGGGAGAAAGTGCCGGGGCAGCGGAATTGTGCAGCACTTTTTTGCTATTCGATCGGTGCTATTTTCTCTTTTCTTTATTATCATTCTCGTTCTCTGTTCGCAACGTTTTCGTTCGACTTAGTTTCAGTTTCCTTACGTCAGCTAGATGTGAATGGTGGCTAAATTTAAGTTTCGAGGTTGAAGACTACCGATCGTACGGCGCTCTGCGCGAGACAGTTTTTCTCTGTTACGTTGAGATTTGGGGTAGTTTCTTGGTTTTTACGCTTGCGACTTTCAGGCCAGATTTAAACGTAGTGAGGACATTATACTGTTTAATTCGAGTTTCCTCAACTCACCGCTTCCTGTCTTTAAGTTAACGAAGCGAAGACTTTGTATCTAATTATTCCCGGTGTAAAACTTGGAATTTTTTCTCTTTTTTCAAGCACCGTTTCACTCTCCGTTCGAATTTTCTACAGAATCGGCCAAAAATCACTTTCTGCTAAATTTTTTACTAACTTGCGAACGCTCTGATGACCGATCAACATTTGCAGGGAATAATTGAAAGATCAATTTGAACTTAAATTCAGTTTAAAATTAATAATTAACATTATTTTTTTCTCACATTCTGATGTTTTACTAAAAAAAAAAAAAAATAGAAAGAAACTTTGGCCCATTAAAAAGAAATTTCATTGAATTTTTTTTTGTTTTAAATCTCGATCAGTCGAGCAGAAAGAATTTGTTGTCCGTTTTAAGAACAAATTTTCACCCGCGATATTCGCGGAGGATCTGTCTGTTACACGTTTGCATGCAGTTGAAACACGGCTAATCAATATGTAAATTTACCGAGGCAGCGTAATCTCAAAGGTTCCGACCTGACGTCGTGTTTTTACAGACGAAACTACGGAAGCCTTTCCGCTTGTGTGTTGCCGCCGGTAATTTTCCAATCGATCATTTACCTATCTTGTATCAATTTCGCAATTACGCAGTCGCGGTCAGACAACTGGTTACACGATCGGTGATCACGTCGATCGGCATCGATCATTCGTTCACGATGTGTAACGATAGATATCGAGCGAGAAGTCGCCTGAAGCAGCGTGAAAATCACTCGGCGCTCCAAGAAATTCGCCCAAAGTCTGTGCGAAGAAACCGAATCTTGGAGACTCATTCAGTTAGCAAAAATTCTCGAGGCGTCGGGGAGGGAGGGAGGGAGGGAAGGGGGGAATTTAGCAGAGCGAGAAATCTCTAGTAACAGTTAGAGATACTTCAGGAAATAATTGAATCGTGTTTGAAGCGAGCTTCAAATATTCGAATGTTTTGCTCCTTGCCAAAACGTGTTTCACTGACAAGGGAAACGAATCGTCGTCCTGTTAGAAACGAGTGAAAATACCTGTTGCAGCGTCGAACGAATTGGCCGGATGATAGTCACAGGAGCAGCTTAGAACGCGGCCGACTGTCTCAGCGAAGCCGTGACAACTGAGCCGAGCTTCGTTACCATTTGACTTTGATCCCTAGTCTCCCTCTTTTTCGACGCTCATTGATGGTATCCCCATCTTTCAGCTTCGATAAGGATTAAATTCGAGAATGATGTTGCTGCGTGTGGAGGAGGAATTGTGGATCACGCGTAGTACGCAAATCCTGCATCATGATTGACAGATTTACTAATGACCATTTTTTACCGAGTTCGACGAGTTGTTCCCGTGCTGCCGGGGTGCTATTATCTTGAATTAATGGAAACGAACAATGAAACGTACACGTGTATATATAATTAATTATTCGTTACGTTCCGCGAAGTATTATATCATTGTTTACAGGCCGACCGACTAACCGATGCCCGGTTGGACGTGTTTAGCATGATTTTCTAATCTTTCGGAAGGTTAAATGAGAACGGCAAAGCTCACGGCAGTAATCTAATAATGCAGCACTCGACGTCTGACGTCAGGCGTTTAGAGAAGCTTTTAAGTCATGGGATTTCGGAGACGGCCGTTGAAATACCTTGGATCTCGATGATTAATGAATGTCGCTAAATGTGCAAGCTATCCTGCGTCCAAGGTCCTAGCTAGCAGGAAGTTTGTTAAGCCCCGCCGCCACGGTTTACAAATTAAGCCCGCTTTTCGACCCATCGTAACTTTCGACTTGTCCTCTTGTTAGGGAAACACGATTCACGTGGTTCAATCCGGTTGAACGCCGGTGTGTGTTCAAGAATAAAGATTGGAAAACTTGACGAACATTTTTTCTTTTTTTTTTTTAATTACTAATTAAAGTAATTTTTCTGTTTGTTTTGTTTCGCAGAACACAGCCGCGTACAACGTGAAGGAGCAAAACGAGAGGCTGACCGACATCGAGGACATGGATTCGCCGGGTGTAGGGATCAACGCTAGAACAGTTCCGCCATTGTGCTACGGGAGAAACATGACGTTCCCGCGGCCAGCTTCTTCTTGCACCCACAGACACGAGCTTCCAGCTATAGTCACCGAGGGTGAAAGCTGTAGACGTCTTGCGGAGGTAGGGTATTCTTCCCGAATATTG